AGGCCACCCACTGTGCCCAGCTACACAAATGATGCCAACAGTTTGGTGACCCCTGGTTTTGGAGCTGAACACTCATGGCTGTCATCTGGGAACCCTGAGCAGTTGCATTTTTTCAGTTTGTGTGTGTGTGTGTGAGAGAGATTTGTGTGAATATTGTGTTTTGTGGCTGCATGACAAAGGTCCTCACAAACCTAGGAAGTGCCTACCTGCTGTCAGGCAGCCCTGCTTTAATGGACCTTACAGTGAGGGGCTGTGGTGGCAGCAGCCTGAATTGCAGATGCTTCTCTCTGGTGGTGCTCGACAGCACAGACCTTTTGTTTTACGAAGCTATCTCCTGATAGGCACTGATATTACTTAGATAATGTGTGTATAGAAATGATTTTATTTTGTTTTTTCCCTTCCAGGAAGACATTCCACCTAAACCAGATCTTGCCATAGAACATAGCTTCACTCTGAAAGTTCTTGCCATTGAGTAATGGGAAGAAAATTGTCATTTTTTAAAGGTCACAGTATCAGTGTCTTGTTTTAACGGAGAATTCTTCAACTGTTTGTTTTTCTCCAAACTTTTCATTTGTATTATAAAACTACATATGTGACAAAAGATAACATGAAATCAGAAAAAGGTAAGCTCTGGACTCCAACTGTGTGAAGATGTTTGCTTAAAAAGTTGAAGTTGGTCTCTGAAAAATTAATTTTCTAAGAAATAAGTCATGGGAAAATTGTGCTCTCTCTCAAAGTTGGAATTCAGAAGTTGAGCAAAGTTTGTGGACAAATTACTGACTACATCCCATCTTATCTGCTTAGATACGTTCTTAAATACAGGTAAGGTCATGTGTTATAATTAATCTCACATAAGATACGAAGACTGAGAAAATATTTGCAATGTTTCTTATTAGGTATCAGAACAAGTGCTTATCACGTCCCTGCCTTGTATAAAAGGCTCTGTGCTTCCTGCAGCAATCGGCCTTCCACCATGGAGAGGATCCGGAGCCTGTGTTCCTTGGCTGTTGTGCTGGCAGGTAAATGTGCGGTACTTGCCTTTTGTCATAGGCTTCATAAACAAGATAGAAATGTGATAACAACAGAAGAGCTATTGTTTCATATGGAAAAGGAGAGGATGGGCATGGCTTTAACTCTACCTGAGGTGACTCTGTGGGAAGATAAGAGGACTGACTTGTTTAGAAATATACCCCAGTTCACCAGTGTACTTGGCTCATGGGCTACAGCACAGACACACTGGAGTCAATGGGACCATTTAGCTGCTGAAAGTTACCCTGTGCTTTACTAGTTCATTTTCTGTGATTTTTACCCCAGTGTGCCAGAGGTTAATTCAGTCCAGAGTCTAATAAAGGGAGAATACATCTTCTTGTGTTGCTAGATAAAGGAAGAGGGAACCTCTGCAGCAAATGCCTTAGAAACATATGGATGTATCCAAAATGTAAAGACTAATACTATTAAATGAAAAGATGTGTGTGGTAATACTTTAATTCCTTGTTTATGCCTTATTGCAGTATTTTCTAATCCAATTTCACAAAATTGAAGTCAAGGTTTTTAAAAATCTATGGGGGTAATTTTTTCCCATATATCTTTCAAGCTACCTTGCTTTAGCTTCTGTTCCCATGGAAATTATCGTGGAAAAGCAGCAAGTAGCCATAGCTGTTGCTAAATTCAACTGCTCGTTCGCATTTCATCTTCTATGTATGTTTACAGACATGGGCCATAAATGCAGTGAAAATGATGCAGAGATTTTAAAATTAAAATGTTTTTAAAGTATAGGGAAGGAAATTTGCATTTTCCCACTTGCTACTACCCCCTTTATGTTATAATATAAGTAAATCCAGGAACAAGAGATGAATGAGGTTGCAGTCTTGTTCAACTGCTCATACCTGCAAGTACTTGTTTTCAAAATTTGCTGGAAAATTTTCAAATAAGCTTCACTTTGATGGGGGGCAAAAATAAAATTAAAACATTTTCTTGGTTCTTGCTGGACATTTTTTTTTTCCCTTAAACTAGTTTTTCAATTCAGAATATCCTTCTTATGAAGTATTTTGTAAGTATTTTATTATATAAAGGAGTTGATAAAAGTCTTTTGTGAACCTGTGCTATGTAAAATGATGCCAAGTTAATAATCTGCTGTAGTATGTTCAGTCATATTCTTTGATTTCGGCAACAAAAAAACTGATGTTGCATTTGACTCCCATTAGGAAAAAAAAAACAAACCAAAACTAAATGAAATGTGATGGGTTTACTTGATTTTGTGCTTTGCCTGCCAAATTGTTAACTCCCGTGCAAGGCACAGCAGTGCAAAGCTGCTGGACACAGGAGCCATGCATTGACTGCTCATGTGATGCTTGCTGCAGCATTTCTTTCTCTGCAGCTGGGCAGGTTTGAGGACCTCAGGATCTAGAAGCCTGCAGGAAGCCTTTGAAATCTCTCCACCTCCCTCAATAAGCAGGCGTATTCAGAGCGTGGTGGGACAGAGGCAGGGCAGTTATTTCCGTAGGACTTGCAATCTGTCTGCCTTGCCCACACCTGCAGCAGGCTCACAGTACAAAAAGGCAATGCTTTACCCACCCAGCCCAGAGTCTTCAGTGTTTCATTAGTCCATTGATTAATCCTCCCTAATTTCTGCTCCAAGAAGAAATAATTTAGGGATTGCAGAGGGATATTCATATTCCTGTTTTGCTTTGGATGAAAAAGAGGATCAGAATTTAGGGCTTTCCTCTGTGACAGATCATGGGTGGTGAATGCTGGACAGAAAGCAGCCTGCCTGTGGGCCATGACTGCCCACCCCAGAAAATAAAGGTGGAAGCCAAGCCTGCCTGTCTGGGAGCTGGCAAAGGTTAGAAGGGCTTTACCTGTTAATTCCTTCCTCTAGAAGGTGATACAAGGCTTTGTGGCAGTGAGGGGCAAGCTCTGCTGTGCATTCCCAGAGCGTCAGACGCTTCTGCATCAAAGGTGGGGATGAGAGTTTTCTCAAATGACAAATGTAGACGGCACTCAGCTCCTGCTTTTCTGCTTTCCCATCCCCTACTTGGAAATCAACTCTGGCATCACAGCATGATGGCATTTTTCTAGTGAATCTGCAATTTTATTCTGTGAATTTTCTCAATATATATAATTATATATTGTGCACATCTGCTTGTAAATTTCTTTGTAAGAAGAAGCCCAGAGTGCAGCAGCAATCACGTTTTAAGCTTTCAAGCACACAACAGGCCGCATTAAAAAAAAAAAAATAAATAAAGCAGAGGTATTAGTCATTTTATGGAAGAGAGCAATTATCGTTCAAGTAGATTTCATCTTTGAATATTGCTGTAATGACTAAAATGACATAAGTTAACTTCAAAATAAGTATGCTGCTTGTGGTATGCCTGCTTTCTTTAAGAATATTTGACAACAGAGTGTTTTGTCAGCACGGCAGGGAGCTGGTCTCGCAGTCCCCCAGCTCTGAGGAGGCTCACTCTGCACAGGGGAACCACAGGGCTCGACCAGCAGCTGCAAAAGGTTTTTGTCAGGATGATTCTGCAAATAACTAATTTGCTGGTATCTTTTCCTTTACTCATAAACATACCTGTATTAACACAAACTGCTAATACTACATATACGTAGTAGTCGTACAATATAGAAATGAAACCTAATGCAAACATATATATATTTTATTTTTATATTTATATATCTCATACAGGTGCATGCAGATTTCACATATTTGTATCTATACATATATATAGATAACCTCTGTGTATAACAGGAGAGAGAATAAGTATAGAGAAAATGTAGCATTTTAATGCTCTTAGTCTAGACCGTTAGTGGTCTTAGTCCTTATTGAAGTGCACCTCCTTTTCAGATAGCCCCCTGTCTTGCTCTCGCCCCTCCCCAGCCGATTCATTAGCTTGCTATTTAACTTTCCATGAGTATTTCAAGTAAGTCGTGCTGCAGCTGAGCAGCAGCAGCTCTGAGCACTGAACAATACAGACCTGCTGCCAGAGTTTGTGAAAGAAACCTGGTGCTCGGTCACGAGCAGGCATGCTGCTCTGCCGTCATCTTAGTCAAAAGAATCATGCGTGTTAGTTCCAAAATGAGGGAAAAACACAACGAAAAAAAGCTAACTAAAAAAGTTTGCATTGCTTTGGTTTTTTTTAACGTGGTTCTCTGCTGCTCTGACTGTTTTTCCCTGTGTCCAGCCCTAGGCGGGTGCCTGGGCTCAGGCCAGGACACGCCGTGTGCCGGGGCCGTGGCGGTGCAGAAGCGCATCGACTGCCACCCCCAGCCCGGTGCTTCCCAGGCGGCCTGCGAGGCGCGGGGCTGCACATGGTGTCCCACCGATGTGGCCAACGCTCCCTGGTGCTTCTTCCCCGAGGACAGTCCCTACGGCTACTCCCTGGGCGGGAGCACCGAGAGGACAGCCAAAGGCTGGAGGTAAATGCACGGCTCCCGCGGCGCTGCAGCCCGGCACTGTGCGGTGACCACTGCTGCCTCCCGGGGGCAGCTCGC